GGGGGGGGGGGGGGGGGGGGGGGGGGGGTTGCAAACGTCTGTGTGCTTAACCCTAACCGATCAGCCTATGGCATATTTTTGAAGACACTTGGAAGAGGAGCGCAAATACTATTCCAATTTGTTATCCGTTGTTAAATCGTCTGAGAGAGCAAGGAAACAGTGATGACAGTCAGGGTGAAGAATGTTCCGCTATCTGCCGACGATAGTCAAAGTCGGAGAATAATCACCCTAATAGATAATGCGATTATTCGTCACAAAGAGAAACTCAGATCTCATGTTCACATTGTAAACACAGGATAAAGGTCTAGTGAACATTATTTTGAGCCGTGATCTCGGAGCTCATGTTCACATTGTAAACACAGGATAAAGGTCTAGTGAACATTTTTTTGAGTCGTGATCATGAGTAGATACAGGCCGCATGATCAACAACGGCAAAGACCCACAAAGCAGCAGAGTGTGTGGGTGAAGATGATTAAGATGAAGATGACCCCAGTTTCAGTGTAGAGTATCAGAAGGCGAGGAGAGGTAGCAGAGACTGGTATGTACGGTTTGAGTTGAAACATAACAGATGAACACGCACCGAAACGCCAGAGAAAACATAATCACAGCTCACCCATTCGCTATTAATATCTAAATATAGGGAGAAGTACAAAGAAATCGAAGAAAGTAAAAATTGAAGAAAAGAACTGAAACAATAAGGCTAAAAATCAGAACTCAACACCGGACAATTGTTAAACTGTGACTGGTAGCCAATCCATAGTCGAGTAATGTGGCCCCAGGCACAAGTATCCGCCCAAACATTTTTAACAGTGAATCGTTCCCCGACTAAAAAGACGAATAATGTGACAATAGATCTGCGACTCTACCACCATTTTGCAATTTTACTTACCTTGACTACTTCTCTTCCTGGAGAATCGAGGAATGTGGCCCGATACCCGCAGTCTCCAACAATACCAACTTAAGATAGTGTGACGTTACGTCTTCCGATTTTCTATAGGAAAAGGTTTATTATTGTCTTTGTTGTATGTCCCTTTGATGTTCTTGTAATTGAATAACTTAGACTCTAATTATTCGTTAAATACAAGATCATTATGTTGATTTAATAATTCTATAATTGCAAGCGTATTCAATTCTTATGTAATCAAATGTTAGGATAGTAACAAGTCTTAATGTATATGTGTGGACGAGGCTGGAAGAATAGGATAGTTGGGATGATGGATTTATTGTAACAAGTCTTGATGTACATGTTTGGACGAGGCTGGAAGAATTGGATAGTTGGGATGATGGATTTATTGTAACACGTCTTGATGTACATGTTTGGACGAGGCTGGAAGAATAGGATAGTTGGGATGATGGATTTATTGTAACAAGTCTTGATGTATATGCTTGGACGAGGCTAGTAGAATTGGATAGTTGGGATGATGGATTTATTGTAACAAGTCTTGATGTATATGCTTGGACGAGGCTGGTAGAATTGGATAGTTGGGATGATGGATTTATTGTAACAAGTCTTGATGTACATGTTTGGACGAGGCTGGAAGAATCGGATAGTTGGGATGATGGATTTATTGTAACAAGTCTTAATGTACATGTTTGGACGAGGCTGGAAGAATCGGATAGCTGGGATGATAATACATGTTTGGACGAGGCTGGAAGAATTGGATAGTTGGGATGATGGATTTGGTAGCCGTTTGGTGGTCGTAATGCTTGAATTCTGTCATCTTCTGTCATCCATGTTATGTGTTCGAGAAGCAAGGCCCCTCTTTTAGTACCTTTGAACGGTCCACTTTCACTGAGTTAAGCTTGGGCGAGAGACCATCATACACTGCCGAAGGCTGCGACAGCCGGTAACTTTCCTTTTCGGGCTACGACAAGTCAGCCAAAAGCTATGCCAATATGATAATAAGTCAGTGCAACGGCAGATAAGTGAAGACTCTAGAAGGTTGCAGCTGGCCAGTTCTGAATCAAAACGAGTGGGTTCATAGACTATCGTACACGCATGACTAGGTATTAAACGAAGATTAGCCGAATCGATTTGTCGGTTTCATTCGTCACTTCGTACATTTGTAACAACAAACGTACATACGATGACATCGTAGCCGATTCAACGTCGTCTACATATTACCAAATGTTACATATTTTGCACGATTGTGCTATGGTTATACGCATCACTGGTTAGTTGTTTTACGAAGGTGATAGAGTATAAAGTACACCGTAGAAGTCATAGAAACGTTACAGAAACAAAACATTTAAGGTAATCAATACAGCCAACTGTATGGTTGCCCTAACAATACTTATGAAGCTGTGGATTAAAAAAGTGATAATTAACGAAGGAAATAAAAAGAAAAAAATATACAACATTTGATAAAGCGCCCTATCTAGCTAACATAAGCCACTCTAAAGCGCTTTACAGTACAAAGATATACAATTTAATACAGTCAATACAATTAGCATATACATTAATCAATACAATATTGAGGAATTCGCAGGAGCTGCCTTATCAGGCGCTAACTACTAGTCCTATGCCACCTGGCTAATATCTCCCTATGTCCGTATGCCTGTGTGTGTGCTGAGTTAGTACAAGGATTACTTCCGACATAACGAAAGATAGTTATGGAGTAAGGATACAGAGGTATACAGGATAGCGAGATAATGAGAGGACATTGTAAACTGTTCAAATAGCAAGGGTTTGTATATAACATCCTAATAATCCTGATAAATCAATATTTGAATACTGGCAATGCACTGTAAAATATACACCAAATATCAACAATGTAAGGGGAGTTAATTCAATCATATCTTGAGCGCAAGTTAAAGAAGAGAGGTATCAATACTATAGGATCAGCTTTTATGAACAGTACAAAATTAACTTTTTTTGGACCATGCCATTCTTTTAAGAGGACCAAATAAGAAAAGAAAAAAGAAAAGCAAAATGGTATGTCCGTGTACTCGTGTTGGTGAAATTTATCATTTATCAAATATATATATAATAACTTCCATGTGTATTATCAGAAATCTCAGAACATTTGCATTGTTGATAAAAATAGTGTTTTCTTTTCAGTTATGGTTTTAAAATATAAAAGCCATCAATACCCCCTATCTTCGAAATTAAAAAAATCATAATTTTTTCACTAGATTTTGCTGATTTAGCAATGGATATAAATAATTATGAAAACATTTTTCTTATTATAAACAGGGTTGAAAGAAAATGCATTTTCTTGATAAAACATCAGAACAATGCAAAGTCAAGCAAG